CAGCTTGCGGTCTAAAAGTCAAGTTGGGTCTTTTAGCCCTTGGCATCATTGCCAGTAACAAAGGCTTTATAGATCGAATTATTCCCTCAGTGACATCTATACAACCCAATTCCTTTAAAATTCTGCCCTCTGTGACACTTAAGTTAACCTGTGCCTTCAGTGGTTTTACCCAGGTGTAGCCAAATAGAACTTAGTAAGTAAATTTTGTTGCCAATGCATGGGAAGGTAGAGAGTCCACATTGCTGTCCTATTGGTTCCTGCAAGGTTAAGAGTAACAAAGAGCAATTAAAACTGATTTTTGTCACTCTGCATAGCAGATACAGCCCTAAATACACAGAGAGGTTGCAGACTTAGTGAGTTAAGAAGGTGCTTTAGTTAAACATCTGGTTTTGGAGTAGGACCATTCTTTAAAAGGAGATGGATGAATGTTTGCACTTACGCGGTGTGATTAAATTTTGGGAAGTGGATATTGTTCTTGATTAGCACTGTGAAGTTTTCAGCACTCTTCAGAATGGCAGGCCTAAAAAAGGAACATATCAAGCACAATGAAAGCTTTTAAAACTTCCTTTTGTTAAATCCATCAATTAATACTATACTATTTTGCTATTACCTGAAAAATTGTTCGTGGGAACATGATACTGAGAATAATGAGTTAGATGGCTCAGGAGGTTTAGAATGGAATACACAGCTTTATTGGCTTTATTTATAAACCTAAGTTGTCAGTTTTCTGAGAGTGAGGACTATCTGTTATAGTTGTTTGTATAATAGCTACACAACAAACTCTGTTTCTGGCTGAGGTCCCCAGATGCTATAGAAATCTGGCCATTGATAGGTAGTAACTGATGTTATCATGTGATGGCTCTAGATTATGGGAAATTAGTTGGCGTGTGTAGTGCAGTTCCCAGCAGACAGATAGCTTTTCGCAGGTGCTTAAACCCCATTTGGCACAGATTATAAAAATGAGATGTTGAACTACACTCTCCTTCATGGAGGTGGCCCCTCCCTGTCAGAGTTCTGTCACATCAGCTGGATCATGTGAAGGAGGCTTGCTCTGTTACCACCCAGGACATCCCTGTTTGGTAGAAAAAACAGAGGAATTAAGTTTCCAGCATTGTCAATCTGGCACCAGCACAAAATTAGTTTGAAAAATAATTTGAGAGAAGATGTCAGCCAACATACTGGCTTTTCCCTTTCTCTTTTCAAAATAAGCCAGGAGAGCTTTCATTTTCACTGAGAAAGCCCCTAAAGGTGGCCAGAAATGATCACTGAAGCTGTGACCCATCCAAAGGACACTATTTCAGAGCATCTGCCTTAGCACATCATTGTATTAGCAGCAATGTCTGCGAGCCAAAGACTTGCAAGGATTGGAAATACTTCAGCAGGTTGACACACAGTGTCAATTGCCCTTTTCAGCATGTCTCCCAAGCATGATGAAAAAGCAGCAGTTGACTGCAATCCAAATTTAAACATTTTGGGATATGGTGCGAACAATTAAAATTTCTAACCAGTCTTGTATGTATAATGGTCAAGACAAAAATAATGTATGTTGAACTTTAAAAAACTGAAAATAGAGGAATAAAAAAATGTAAGCTGCTTGTACAGCCAGGACAGACCTTGGGACCTCTTCAGACCTCTTCTATCAGGGTGCTGCAAACATTTGTCTTTTGGCCAGTTTATCCTGGTCACTTTGCCCAGCATTGCATCTGTATCTGCAAAAATGAGCTGCAGATATCCACACTGACATCTGCAGATGAGGACATGCATGGTTATCAAGTGGATATCTGCAGATTTGCAGGATTCTAGAGGTGGATGTGGATACCCAAAGATATAAAGCAAATATCTGTGGATTTGTAAACTCTACCAATTAAGACAAAAGAAAGGGATCCTTGTTGCCTAAAAGTTATGGCTTGGGTTCAGTTTCAACCCATCACAAAAGGGAAGGAAAGGAAGGTGCCCTTTATAATGCACAGAACTTCCTGCTCAAGGGAACTTGCACAGAAAAGCCAAATGTTGCCTGTGGGTGTAGCTGAGAGCCAACATTGCTTTGCTAGAAGTCAATATTTGAATGCACCAGGCTACAGACTTCTACACAGGTTGCTTTTCTTATTCATTCAAATTGCAAAGAAATCCTCCAAGTACCCATTTAGTGATTGCTATGAACTCCTTCCCTGCCAGTGGATTTTGTGAAGGATTCTCATACAAGTGATTTGCCATTTTGGCTCAAACTATTGGTTCATCAGTTTTGGTCTCTTGGCAAGGACTAATCATTGATGTATTAGAGGAAAGTAGGACAACAATATGAGCACTATGCCAACTGTGCAAAGTAAATAAAGGCAAAATCTCTTTCCTGCTGTGTACAGTCATCAGCTTGCACAATGAAATATTTAAAAATATTTCATATTTACTAACATCACACTTAAACAAAACCAAGAGCTTTAACAACTTGGATATTTATTAAGCTGCTCTGCATAACTGTTCAAAGAGTGGAAGAATTTCCATTTTTATGTGAATTTGGGGCTCAACCTTGCAAGGTGTTAACCTGCCTATTGAGAGTACTCAGCAACATGCAGGATTGGAACCCTAAGATGGAATTTTCAAAAGGGCTTAGCTCCCAGTGAGAATTTTACCACTGACTTCAATAAGAGAAACATAAAGCTAGTCATGGAGGCCCTCTATCAATGGAGCAAAGACAGTATGGCCAGGTTCCCCTATGCTTGCCTCCCAACCAGGAGGGTCTACCTCTTGGGATATGAAAGTTGTGTTTCCTTTGCCTATTTAATTCATCCATCTCTGCTGGAACTGCCAGTAAGAGGACAAATCAGTGTTAATTCCACTGCTGGGTTTTGTGGTATAGACACATCAGTTTAGCAGGTGGCCTATTCTATTCTCTGTGGTTAAGCCTACCAAATCATATCCAGTGTTAGCGAAGGGAGAAAAAAGCAAAACCATATAATGGTCTAAATTAATTGCTGGTGTAAAGTGACACAGCTCTAAGTAAGTCAAAAGAGCTGCACCAATTTACTCTAGCAGAGAATTTGCCCTGCATATCTTTTCTAAGCTTTAAGGTCTAATTTATTACACAAGATCCAGGTTCTTGCGCACATATCAGGGACCACGGGGAGCAATGTGATATCTTGGGGCCTCAAGTGGAGAATATTTTTGAATTGCACATTGTGAGGGAAATGAAAGGTTTTATTAAAAAATATTTACATTTTTGCCCGATACAGATGAGTAACTGTACATTAAAGTGAAATTCTTATATTATAGAACACTTTACATTCATGGATTAGAGGTTTAGAGATTAGAAAGTAGAGGTTTTTAAAAAAAGAGATATTAGGTCCCCTGTAGTCTACTCCAGTATATTTTATAGAGTTTTGTTCAGTTCAGTTTTACATGTTACCAGCACTAGGCTTCCACCACTTCCACAGCAAATGTTTCCTATGAGACTTATCAATATGGCTCTACCAAATTTTCAGCCATTAAAAATGCATCACAGACCATAAAATCTGGTCTCTTCTTGTGAAAGTTGGTCTTTTGTGCACTTTTTCCCTATACCATACAGATTTATTGGGGGAGACCAGCATTTTTGCAATTGGGGAGCTCCTGACCCAAAAGGGATTTGGAAGGGTTGGGGTCACAAGATTATATTAGGGGGAGTTGCAGTATTGCCACCCTTATTTCTGCACCGCTGCCTTCAAAGCTTGGTGGCCTGAGAGTGGCAGCTGCTGACTAAGGGCCCAGCTCTGTAAGCAGCAGCACAGAGGTAAGGGTGGAAATAGCATGCAAAGCCATCCTTACTTCTGCATTGGTGCTGATGGTAGCTCTGCCTTCCATGCTGGGCTACCAACAATCAGCAGTCATTATCCAGTTGGCTTGCTCTGAAGGCAGCACGGCTACTAGCAGCAGTGCAGAAGTAAGGAAAAAAGTACTGCAACCTTCACACAAGTCCTTTTTAGGTCAGGGCCCCTACAATTACAACACCATGAAAGTTCAGATTTAAATATCTGGACTAATGAAATTTAGTATTTTTAAAATCATATGGCAGTGAAATTGACCAAAGTGGATCACGAATTTGGTAGGGCCCTAATTATTAGGGTTGCTACATTTTTCTGTGTCATACTCATTATCAAAATGTCTGCAGAGAATCCATGATAAATCTGTGACATCTAGAATTGTTCTCATGACCACAAACTGTGATGTCACAAGCTTGGCCTTATTACTTCACTTCAAGATCAGAGAGAAGAAGCCAATACAAGCACATTGTTGGTAGTTAATTTATAAAAATAAGATTTAATAATATTAAGAGATGGGTAGGAAACAACTGTTTAACAAACAAAGATTCCACGGGCCCTTTGAAAGGTGCTGAGTAACTCCCCTCAGATCCTATTGGTTTGCAGGATCTAGCCTTTAGTGATTACATACACGTTTACTTACACTGGGGCACCTTTCATTGATTCCACAGGGCACCACGCAGCAACTTCACAGGTTTTAATTGTTGCATTATATTTCACACATTTTCCTGTCTGAATTCCTGTACAGAGGAGAAGTTAGCTATTATTGAACTCACAAAAATGGTTAGACTCCATCCTTTGGAAAACACAGTTTCAAAGTATTAATGGATCTCTATACACAGGTAGAACAGACACCTTAAAATCAGAGTATAAGTTTAGATTTTTGCAGCTCTTTGCAGGCTGAACTAGCTGTAGGAAGGGTTATCAGATCCATGCTTCAGCTACACACAGACAACGCTCAACTCCTCCTCTTGCCCCTCTCAATACTGGACATGTTGGATGTGGATGAAGGAATTAGAAAAAATTAGAAGAATACCTACATCTTCATTAAAAGCTTAATTCAACAACATAAGCAAATTAAAGCATGAGTGTTCTGCTACAATACTCTCACAGCAGATTATGGAGTGGCATCATGCATCCAAAGAAACATAGGCTAACTATTATACCGTTGGAAACAACTCCTATTGGCTATCCGTGTCTTAAAAAGGTAGGACGTGGCTGGCTCATAAACTTATAGACTTTCTGATGGTATCAGAGACAACATAGCCTTTAAATAGTGCTTGATCTTTCAGTCACACATCAAAACTGTCACTGCCTTCAATGTGAATTACACTGGTAGAAAGTAATTAAGTCAGAACTGTCACTGACTTCAACATGAATTACACCTGTAGAAAGCACTGCAGGAGTGGGCTCTACTGCACTGATTTGTATCCCCTCCTCCTACTTTCATCCTCCCTGTGACCTCCTGCCCATTCCCACCTGTTGTTAAAGTTCTCCACAAACTGGAAAAAAATCCAGGTGAGTGAATTTTCATGTCATTCTTCTTGCTGCTCCTTTTGTTTCGGACTCCCACATTTGTCTTTATGCCTCCCTCCTTACCACCCACTGTGCTTGGTGGTTCATCTCCCTAGTCAGAGAGATGCATACACAATTGCCAGTAGGAATTGCACCAGTATATCTCAGAGCAGAATTTGATTCTACAGTTGCAAACTTTCCAAGGATGACACTCCACAATTTCTAATAATCATTAACCAAAAGACAGTTGCATTTCACCACCTGCTACAAGTTTTAAAATTTAAATGTGTACCATTGCTCTGGGAGTCCGTGTGTCCTTTTATACAACTCACATCTGAAGAGCAGATAGCTTTGGCAATGGGGTACTGAAAAATAAAGCAACATAAAAGACTATTATAGCTATTTACCACTCTATTGCTCTTGTAAAATGTTCTATGCAGAAATTACAAACAGTAAGATGAAATCACAGAGTGAAAACAGAATACCAGCTTTTGACAAGCTTAGATGTGACCTGTAAGATACGGCTATGTCTAACAGTGGCATGGAATTTACTTGTCTATTTCACACTCATCAAGAATAGTCTGATATGTGTTTTACATATGTTTGTTTTAAAAAAATTAATTGAACAGTTGATACACACTTGTATATTCAGAAATGTGCATGCATTTGCATGCTCTCCTTTCACATCCAACGATCATAACTGCCTGTCTAAATACCCAGTTGCGCGTGCAAATGCCTGACTTGAAAAGACATGTGTGGTCTCTCCGTTGCAATGAAAGTGGTTAAAATGGCATGCATTTTTGTGTCTCTGTGCCTCAGATCGCTGTCCATATAAATTTGGTTTTTATGTAATAAATAATTGCTGTGTTTATCTTGTACATCAAAACTGTAAAACAGAACAGATCAGATAAAGAGGCATGGATCCCTTTTGGTTTTTAACTTCCACTGGTTTGCAGTAACATTTCTGTTCCTATCTTTAAAATTCTTTTCCATTTGGCAATCACTGATTCTCACCTATCATATGACATGCACGCCAGTCTTACAGTGGATTGTTTAGTTTCTTGTTTGTTAAGAGCACATACATACTGCAGCCAATGACAGTCAACTAATTTCTCGGAACTTAGGTCTCTTTTAATCTCTATATAGATTTTAGTGTGTCTGTCTGTCTGAGAGTCTATTTGTTGAAAAAGTCCTAAACGGTAAGAGCTAGGGCCCTCAAATTTGGAATGCAGCTTCCTCTTCTCCTAACTTAAGCCACGCTGTGGTGTGGTTCTACCAGGACTACTGGAAGCCCCAGGAAAAGGACAAACTTCCATAACGTGCAACGGGAGGGGCTACTGTTTGGAAAGTGA